CTGCTGCATTGTTTACAATTCAGAACTGGATTGGACTGTTTTTAATTACATGCAACTTGCTGCTCTCAGGCGGAGGATGGAACTGGGTGAACTGGACAGACTGTGAATTTACTGAAAGATGCAATACACCTTTTTGTTCTTACTGCCCTTGTTTGAAGTTTGATACCAGAAATCTCATTGGCTCTAGAAAAGGGGAGGCAGAGGGAAGAGAGAGGTTAAAAATGTTGGTGTTTTTAAAGATTCTGAGGCCAGTTCCTCATGGACAGACCCCTGGCTTTCCAGAACTCTGGTTATGGGAGGTGCCAGTAGATAAGAAGGCACATAACTGTCACAGATGTTGCCATGGAAGGTGCGAAGCAAGATATTGCTATGCAGATAATGGATACAGTATAAACGAGGTCTCAGTTTTTCTTCTGGGTTTAAAAGTGCCTAAAATGTGTCAAGAGAATCTAACAAGCCCGAACAGAGACTTGACTGCTCCTTCTGCAGTTATCTGAACAGTACTGGGGAGGGGTGGTTGATACTTCCTGCTACACATCTAATTAGCATCTCCTCTCTCCTGCTGCATGTACTGGAGACTGTGTAAGGGGCGAGAGGAGGAGGGAAAGAAGAATACTGAATTTACATATCATCTCATTTGGTGATGCTTTGGAGAACTGATTGACTCAAGTCACAATGTGGGACATGACTTTTGTGAAGTTGTGATAAGGAATGTGTACTGCCTCTTCCCCCTTGATAAGGAGGAGGCATGATCCCAGCTCTATATAAAGCCTTACAAATGTATTTAAAATCAATCAGCTCCTAGAACCTTTATGTCCTGAGCTGTCTCAGCTATTTTTATGCCCTTTACACTACCAGTGATTGTGAATAGACATTACTTCTTTTCTTCTCCTTCCTCATTCTCTTCCCCCTGCCTTATTTTGACACAAATTTGGGGGTTTATGTTGTGTTTATGGATTAGGTGCCACCTTCTACTGCAAATAGTCTCAAAATTTCAGCTGTTACTTTCCAAGGCAGCCACAGCAGTGTGACACAACCCACCCCCCCATTTCTCCATCTGTTTGCAAAACTCCAGCTCCTGTCCTTCATCCTGGTTCTAAACGCCCAGTAGCGAAGCACCCACTGAGATACCCTCTGCCAAGACAGGTGGAGATTAGACTAGACTCATCCTGTTTCTTTCAAATTCACCCACTGCTACATGGAAAGGGGGAAACCTGTCCCTGGAAACCAGAGGCATGCAGAAGCTCTTTTCCTATATACATATTTACAGCAATAATACCAGACACCCCAGTGGAAAGTGCTGTGATACTAATGAGTGAGACCATGGCATGGGGAAGAATGAGAAGGGAGAAACAAGATCTCTTCGAAGAAATCTGGACCATGCTATCTCTAGGACAACAATATTCCTGCCCTTGTAAATCCTGTTGTTGGACTAGCCCATCTACTGCCTTGAACTGTGCAGACAAGATCCCTTCATATTGTCCACTACTGACCTTCTGCTCTGACCACGTAGGACCATTTTGAAGATGACCTTCAGAAATCAATAATATGGGTTTTAGTTTGTCTGTTCGTAGTTTATTTTGAAGACTAGTATTTCAGTAATTTAAAAAACAATCAGAAGCACTGAACTTTCTATGTTTTATAACATTATTTTGTATATAATGTATATTTATAATCAAAACAGAAGTGTAAATATGTTTATTACTTCTCATGTAATGTTTTTAATGTGATGACAAAGTTTGAATTTTATTTTTTTTTCAAGCAATGAAAATACTTTCCTGCAAATATGAAGTTTATTGTGGTTTGTCCTTTTACACCTGTTATTCTGTGACAGCCAATGTTACTGAAGCTCCCCAGAAGTAAGCTCGCCTGCTTGCTCTCTACAGTCAGCCCTACATTTACATTTTGCACACCAACTGATGTCAGCTGCTTTTTATAAACCAGTTATACTGTTAACTGATGTCAACAAAGTTCCTCAGCTGAGTGGCATTCATCTGACATTTTGAAATGTTATACATATTTATATTGTGATCTATAATGTTTAAATTATTTATAGATATAGATATAAATGTAGATATGTATATAAGTATACATATTCTCTTGCTATGGTGTGGGACTGAAATGTCAGGAAAGTTATTTTTATTAATGGTTCACTCTTCCTCTGCCATGGTAACTCATGGCATGGAGGATACAGATTTAATACCTTTACAAAGTGGCTTAATAAATGTGCTGGTTTGGGGTTTGCTTACAGAACAAAATACAGTTACTATTTTTTAGTCCCATTTTTTAAAATACTTTCAGTAAGACCCAAACCTTGTCTTCACTCATGCACAGAATCTACATCTACACTTGCAAGATGATATACTTGTTTGTTTGATTGCAAGGTGTAAGATTTGTCTTTCACTTGCGGGATTAGGGGGAGTTTCAAGCTTTCTCCTCCTGAGTTCCCTATGCTGCATCTGTGTCCTCCCAGGGCATCACAAAGTCATTATCCTCCACAGCCCTTTTGGAGGACGTTTCCACCAAAAGAAAAGTGTAAAAAGCACACTTGTATAAACACTCCCAGCAGGTTTAGTAGCCTTTGAAGCACATACATTTAGAGGCAGTTAAATGTCTCACTAGATCAGCTAGGTGCAGTACAGCAAGAATCCGAATGCACAAAAGCAAAAAACTATCAGAACAGGAAACTACTGCTCCTCTATTTTAAAACAAGATTTTTTTGTTATTGTTGTTCACTAAATGCCAAAAAAGCATCTGAGTACTGGATGCTTTTCCTATCTTTCCCCAAAATAAAAT